TCAGCGGTTGTCACAACATTACTTATTTATTTCATCTTGTATGGTGTTGTTATGCAACACCTACACCATTTTTGTAGTTGGACAGGAAACAGTGACACACACACACACACTCACACACACACACACACACACACACACACACACACACACACTTACCCTGCACAAACTGCTCACACCAATCAGCCCACAAAGAAAAAATCTGATCTGCTGTTTGGATTTTTTAGTAATTTAAAGGGATTAAAAAGCAAAACACACTTTAATCTTCGACCTCCTTTCATTTTATTCAAATTAATTACTATGCAAAAACCTGAAAACCTAATTACTTTATCTTGAATACAGTAATAAACAATAAAAACAAAACAAAACAAAAAAAACAACAGAATCAAATCCTATGGGGCCTAGACATTCAATTATAAACGATTTAAGGCCTATAGTGCAGTTATGGTTGATAGAAAAACACTCAGCTCCTCTGAACATTGCATCATGTGTTTTCTTTTCTTTTTTTTTAGAATCATTTTTCAATCATTTACTCTGGCTAATGTTCCAGATCTTCGATGAAATACGGGAATCTTTAGTGGTTGGTCTGCCGTGCTAATTGGTACAAGCGCCCTAGGCGAGCTCACGTCTAACAAACTGAGGACAGCAGCGTTCACAGGGTCTGTCTTTGGGATGGGAACATGTAAAAATAGAAACATGACAAATAAAAGCTCAATTTGAACAGATGGCTCTACATGCCACGCCGCATGTGTGCCGTGAATATCACACATGCTGCTTATGCTGGGGAATTTTTAAATATGATCTTAAATAAAACAAAAAATTTACCAAAATGTTATAATACAGGAAAGAAAGAAAAAAACAGCTATAGGATGCAGTATATCAATGTAGCCTGCTGTATGTATAAATGTGTGCATTTCAACTACTGTGAATAATCCAGGAATTTTATTGTTATTTTACTATCATTTGTGCATTAATACTGCAGTGATACAGATATATCAGGAGAGAGTGATGACCGGCATGCATGGGGGCAACGCGCACACGCACACGCACGCGCGCACCGACCCCACTCCCTTCTCCAAATCCACAATAGGTTTTTTTTCCAGTCCAGAACGGGCGGACTTCAGCCAATCGTCAATATTATTTTATCCAGTTTATGTGAGATGTGTGTTAATTGTAATGCACCGCTAAACCTTCGCTGCAGACAAACAGAAGACTGCCATTCAGTAAAAGACGTGCGGCATTAAGTAAGGATTAAAACTGGGGCATGCAGGGCGACTGTGCACCATATTGTAGCCTACATCTGCCTTTAAAATCCACAATAAATTAATAAAAAGCACTAGTGGGTTGTTATAGGATGGGCTGGAACATGTGTCTTGGCACATGGTTAAATACCGACTTGTGGTATAGGCCTATTTTATATTATGTCTCAGTTGTAAATAAAGAAATAATCTGAACAATTTGGAGTGAGGTGTAACATAGTGTTTTATTAAACCAATCGCCTATAAAATGTTGAGATAAAAAATATATATATCTTTTTTTTTTTTTAAATAATTCAATAATAAAAATGAAATGGCTGTGTGGTGATTCGGGCTTGCTCCAGTGCGTTTTGAGAAAAGGAGGTGATGCATTTCAATATGGTAATCACTCACCCGGGGCATGTTTCATTTATTGACAGATTTGATGTTAAATGTCTGAAGCTCACTTAGTGTTGTAGCTCTTCATTTATTATGTTTTGAGCTCTCTCTCTCTCTCTGTCTCTCTCTCTCTCTCTCTCTCTCTCCCTCCTTCTCCCTGGTTTGACCCTTCGAGGTCACACAAGCAATTCTTTTTTTAAACGCATGATTAATTTCTCAGTAGGGCGACTGGCTAATGCATTATGAAAAAAAAAGTGAAACGTATTCCAAAGGGGCTAATAGCGCTATTGTATTCCAATAAGCCCTTTCCTGCTTCACATGGTTTAGACATGCTCCGCTTTTGATAACATGTCAGTGACATCTTTCTCAGGGAGAGAGAAAGTTGTGCATCATCCCAGCTCTTTCCAAAAAGGTTTCACTGTCCTTTAAAAACAGGGGATTTGTCCGTAATTGTTATTATTTATTTTCTTAGATATATCAGTGCCATACACTTAATTCATTTGGGTTTTATTATTATAATGTAAAATTCCACATTGCTCAGCGAGGAAGATTGCAAGAAATGAATAAAAAATAAATAAAACATATAAAACAATATTTTTTTTTACAGAGGATGTAACACAATATAACTCTGCAACAAATTTCCAGATGTTGATAAAAAAAAAAAATAAAAACCTTACTAACCTTTATTACTGACAGCCTTAGACCTAAAAGTACCATAAAAGTCATTAGCCTTTAAACGCAACACATTATAAATAAATATGATATCAGAAGTATTTGCCGGGATGTATTTTTCGTTCTTAAAATGACTGTTTATTAGCTCTTAAAGCTACTCTACCTGCTTTCTGGATCCTATTATCTTTCCCTCTCTTCGCTCTATTGTGACGTCACCCGCCTCGATAGCTGCGGCCCGAGCGTGGCTCGCGCCCGTGCCCCCCCTCCTGTCCCACTGCAGCCAGTGTTCCCGTGGCGTCCGTCCGCGAGACAAAAGCACGCGCTGCGACAGCCTAAATTGGTTTGAAAAGGAGCAGATGGGGCTCGCGCTCTCTGCTGCGTCTCTTCCGCACACACATAAGAGCCACGCGCAGATTTAAAGCTAAAACTGACCCTGTCGTGTTTATCAAGATGCTATTGAGAAGAGATTGGGCGAGAATAAATTACAGCCTGCCTCCATAACTGCGTTTTAACCAGATTCAGAGCTGCTTGATACATTTAGGAGTTTAACAACAAGTTGAAGCAAATACTCCCCCCCCCAACTTTCAGTGTTTTTCTGAGTTTCCGTAGCTTTTATAAATAATCTAGCTGAGATGAGTTTCCTCCTTGAGCGTCTACAACATTTAGAAAAGGAAGTTCTGACACCCTTAAATGAATGGCCGACACTGAAGTATAACTCACTGTCTATAACAGATGTTGATCAGCTCTTTTAAGTCTTACCAAATTACTCACAAAATTGAACAGAAAATTTTAGGCAAATTAGAGTAACAGTGCAGACAGCAGCTTTGTGAAGAAATCCTTGAGTTTTTATGTAGGACTCACAGACTGTGCCACTGAAGTAGAGTTAGATTAGCCATACCAGCTACTTCAATTTATTTCACCTTTAGTCTGAATACACACAGGCCTATACGCCTCAATAACAGCAATGTAGGCATCATGCAAAGTTATTCTAACCTCATCCCTTTGGAGGAAATGCAATTCATGCGTGTGTATTAAAGAACATACAGTTAAAACGTTGAACCAGTGACCATGCAATGGTCCGATCCACTGCTTACCAATTATCCTCATACAGTTCAAACCAAACTCCAAACTACGTCTGAACTACAGGCCCCTACACAAATACACTTTATGTTTGACATGCAGCCGTTGCAGGCGGTACGTGTTTTGTTCCTCCATCCCCAACATGAAACGTGGGCCAAGAAGAATTTGTCCCAACTTCATTAAGTTGTTTTAATTAACAAGGACAAACAGTATTTGGGACACCACTTCACTGCATCCGCTTGCAGAGTTAAATGAGATCCTCTCTCGCATCCTTCAGCCATTTGCTGATGACTATGAGGCAGCTAATATCTGGGTTATAGACTTCATATTTAGGTCTGCGCCTTCATATCTGTAATTTGCCTGCATATTTTTAGTGGAAGAAGTAATTGAGCAGCAGGAGCAACATGCCTGGTTTAAGAGCTTGGAGCAGGGGTGCAGCTAGGAATTCCTGGGCCCCCACTCAAGAGAATACTGATCTGGACCCCCCATTTTGTTGAATGAAACAATCTTACACTGCAGTTTTTGAAGGCCTTCTCCCGTGTTTTATAGCACTGGGTTCTAGCTGGGAGCTCCTCTGACCCTCGATTACAACAGATGATATAGGCTACAGTTAGCTTCCTGCTGCCTTTCATCTCCTGGGAACAACCTGCACATGCATGGAGAGTCGTATTTCCAAAAGCCTTCTCAGAGTTGGATGTGGGAATCAGCTGTACTGACAGACATTATTCTGATCCCCCAGTCTGCCTGCCTGTCTGTCTGCTGTCTCAGCCTTTATTTTTATTTGTTTCTTTCTTTCCCCTATGGTCAGGCTAATGTTTTACTCCACACTGTGTCTGTGTTTAAAAGCCACATTTCCGATGCTCTGTTGGCTGTGTCTGCTGCCAGCATCGCTTTTACCATCAGTTTGTTGGTAATTAATTTGCAACTAAGGGGTTGTTTATCAAAAGTCACACTCATTTGTTGTTTATATGGTTTTCCAAACTGTTAAATGTCAACCCCACCCCCACCCAAGCTCGTGCAGTAGACCAGCAGACACCCACATGTAGTTATGTTGTAGAGCTGTGTGCAGTGTCAAATTCATTTAAAACTGATATTCATTAAGTCACTAATATAGTGAGTAAATTAGCTAAAAATCATGCGAATATTAGTTGTTGGGGTCTGTAGCCAAGCAGGAAGAGTTTCATCCTCTGAGACTTCAGGGGGTTCATTTCATGCACGCGCGAATGTGTATGCGTATTAGTCCACGTTCGTGCGTCCTTCCCTCCGTCCGTCCGTCCGTCCGTGCTGTTAGTTTGACTTTTCCAGCATTTGTGTGGCAGTTAGCAAGACGTCATTTAGGCTGTTCAGTCGGACGGGGCAGCACAGCGCGTGAATTAAAGGAGGAATAAAGTGTGCGCGTGTGGGTGTGTGAAGGTGTCTGTGTGTCCTAGATGGTGGGCTGAGCTCGCGCTACACGCCAATCAAACGCAAGGCAGGTGCGCGGTCGAGAGAGAGAGAGAGAGAGAGAGTTAGTGAGAGAGGGAGGGAGGGAGGGAGGAAGAGAGAGAGAGAGAGAGAGAGAGGGCGGATTACGGCGCGTGGTGTCTCTGAAAAGCGAATAAAGCCGGCGCGAGCGTCGCAGTTTACTCACATCTCACGAGCAGCTCAATAGACAGTTGGAGACAAAGTCGGTACCGGTTCCATGTGTTTCCCGGATATAACTCAGTGAAATCGGTTAGTTTGCGTGATAAAAATGAGTTTTTTAGAGCTGTGCGGGATAAATCGATTTCTCTCGTGACGGGGATATTTGTTGACGCTGTGACCGTTTTGGGATTATTCTCGGAAGTCTGAGGTAAAGACTGCTTGACTATTTGTGCTGTAAAGTTGACTCCAATGTTGGTTAAAAAGAAGGTAGCCTACCTACTGAACGAAAACTGTGTGGGACAGAAACCAAACTTCAAAAATGATTTAAAGAAGAAAATGTGTGAACAAATGTTTGAATGGTTCAAATTCCGTTGCATTGACCGTAATTTAGAATTACTGTAGTAGTGTATTTTTATTATTATTATAATTATTATCATTAAATTGGCTATTAATATTATTATTAATAATAGGCTATGCCTCCTGTATTATTCCGTGTAGAAGTTAAACATGATGCCTGACTAACTGACAAACGTGCTTGTTTAATAAAGGCCTACTGTTACTTTGCAAGAAATTAAATTTGTGCTCAACATAAATAAAAACTGTATCTTTAAGCCAAAGCTCTAAATGCTTGAGTTAGGGTGTTTGTTTAGTTCGTTTTATTACTCTTCTATACTTCTCCTCCTCAGTTGGTTGTTCGGCCCACACAATTGCGCTACGTTATAGTCCTAAATGCGCTGTATTAAGTTGTTTCAATTCAAAACATGTATGTTTAGTATAAACAGCTTGTGAATTCTGTATTATATTTTGCTATTATGTAATGTTTTCTTTAATATAATGTGCACATAATTGTTATACATGTCTTAGGAATTTATTTGTAAAAACAAACACATCTTGTAATTATTGATGTCCTTTTTTGTAATTGTGTTTCTTGTTCTTAAAACATCACAAATGAGTGGTGCACAAAAATACTTTAATATTGGAGTGCTGTAGTTAAATTTTGAATTTCTAAAATATACATTTTAGAAACTATCATTTTAATGAAATATTAAAGCTTATTTTCAAGTAATATAACTTATACACTATTACGCAGACTTTTACTATAAAGTAAAAAACTGTACCTTTTTGTCGTTTGGAACATTATAGTATAATTTCTTGAAATGATAGCATAATACATTTTGCAATCAACCTTCAATTTCTCTCTTCACAGTAAATTTTAATTTCCATTTTCATATGCTTTTAAAACAATATATAAATGAAGACTTTAAAGAACATGAAGGAATACAGTATTTAGAGTAGACAGTGTGGCATAATGTGCCACCACCTCAGGGTGCCACAGCCAACTTTCTTATAGGGAAATGAGGTTTAACAAAAGTGTAGTCTGATTGTTGCCAAAAATTGTCACCTAAACAGTTGTGTTAAATGTATGTCTTTTATTTAACACTGGAGGTCAAGGATGAACTTTGTAGGTTACACCGTTTTCTAGATATAGCTTAGGGATATTTTACACTGTCAAAACACAATAATTAAATATTAATTTGTGCTTTTATGTTTGTGGAGAAATCTGGATAATATTGTACTTTCATTGTATCAATTATTGAAGAAGAGTGTGTTCATCTTCCTCTTTCACAGATAATTCACCGGTCAACTTAAAACTACAGGCAGGCAAACACTCATTACTTTAGAGCTATAAAATGTACAGAGATTATCATCTTTGGGAAAATAAATTAACCGACATTCCTGATTTAATGTTTTTTAAATGCAAAGGACCTACATGAAAAAAAATAAGTATTTGCATTTTTTGTCACAGAAACACTTAATAATTTTGTAAGGGTAATTAAGATGACAACAATCACATGTTGGACTCAAAAAAAAATTTTTTTTGTAGTTCCTTAAAAAAGGAAATACCATTTTATTTCTGTCTATAAATTGTGAATCAGATACATTTAATTTAAATGTATTTAATTTAAAACATATTTAAATATTTACTTTTTTAACAAATTCCTTATATCATCAAAGTATTACTGGTTACAACAATATTATGTGGTAGATTTAGTGTACATAATATGATATAATTACTTGGAATATCTAGCTATTTCATTTGACTCTATGTGTAATACAGAGACAATGTACTTGTGCATGTTTTATGTAAAAAGAAAATCAACACATATGGATCTTTCTTTCTTCCTTTTCATGCAGGTAATTCTGCAAACAGTTTTCCTCCAAGTATGGACAAGACCCATCTTTCGAGCACTAATGACATCATAATGACAAGCTCAACAGGCCCCTACCAGCAGGAACCCCTGACTCCACCCAGACCCAACCATCACCACTCCTCATCCTCTTCCATGTCCTCCCCGTCTCCATCCTCTTCCTCATCACCCCTCAAGCCCAACCAGGTCGGCCAGGTCATCCTGTACGGGGTTCCCATTGTATCTCTGGTCATTGATAACAATGAGAGACTTTGCCTAGCACAGATTTCCAACACACTCCTCAAGAACTACAGTTATAATGAGATCCATAATCGTCGCGTGGCGCTGGGCATCACCTGCGTCCAGTGCACTCCGGTTCAGCTGGAGATTCTTCGTCGGGCCGGAGCCATGCCCATCTCGTCACGCCGCTGTGGCATGATCACCAAGCGAGAAGCCGAGCGCCTCTGCAAGTCCTTTCTGGGAGAGAATGCACCGCCCAAACTGCCCGACAACTTCGCCTTTGACGTGACACATGAGTGCGCTTGGGGTTGCCGTGGTAACTTCATCCCGGCACGCTACAACAGCTCCAGGGCCAAATGCATCAAGTGCTCCTTCTGCAACATGTACTTCTCCCCAAATAAGTTCATTTTCCATTCCCACCGCACACCAGATGCCAAGTACACCCAGCCCGATGCTGCCAACTTTAATTCCTGGCGACGACACCTCAAACTCAGTGACAAAATCCCAGCTGATGAGTTAGTTTACGCGTGGGAAGACGTCAAAGCTATGTTCAATGGAGGCAGCCGGAAGAGAGCGCTGCCCTCCTCAGCCCACTGTTCCTCCATGGGTGCTATGAAGTCTCTCCCAGGTTCAGTGGTGCCTCACATGATGGGACCCGACATGGGTGCTCAGAAAAGAGGCCGCTATGAAGACGAGGATGATCTGGATGGAGGAAGTCTGTCTCCCCGTAAGACACCTCGTAGCTACCCTGTCATCCCAGTCCCAAGCAAAGGCTTTGGCATGCTGCAGAAGTTCCCTCCCACTTCGCTCTTCCCCTCACCTTACCCCTTCCCAGCATTTGGCCTCTGCCAGCAAAAAAAAGATGACAGTGATGTTTCAGTTGCGCAGAAAGCAGCAGGGTTGTCGGGTCTTTTATGGCCTGGCCGCAAAGACACTTTTTATCCTCCTTTCTGCATGTTCTGGCCACCAAGAGCGGCAGGAGGAATCCCTGTCCCCACCTACCTCCAGCCTCAGCCCGGCGCCCTCTCCTCCCTGGCAGACAACCCCTCTCTCAGGCAGGCCTTTTTGGATCTCTCAGACCCCAGCGAGCCTGGAGCTGTAGCTGGCAATGGAAATAGTGTCAGCGCCAACATGGCCCCAAGCAGTGGGACTACCACACCCAGATCTGGGCTGTTTGACCCAGAGTGCTCGACAGTAACCCCTGAACTTCGACCTGTGACGTCAGAGGGCTGGCTCAAACTCCTGGACACCCCAAACCTCCAAACCAGAAAGCCGAGCTATGGCTCGGCCTTCCGCCCCGTCATTAAAGATGCAGAGAGTATCGCCAAGCTCCACAGCAACAGTGGAGGAGTCACTGGGGCAACAGATGAGGACTTTGGGGTCGTGGTCACCAGGTCAGACCGCCACCAGCGGCTATCGCCCAGCAGCAGCTGTAGTTACGGAAGTGAAAGCGGAGGTGATGGGGAGGCGGACGGAGTGGAGAGTGAGGAGGAGGGGGAGGTGGATGTGGAGTCGTCGAAGCAGGAGGATGAGGAGGAGGAGGGGGGCTTCACAAACAGGCTGCCACAGACTCAAACCAACCTGTACATCCCTGCGCTGAGCGACAATTCGGGTGACGAGAGGGGGAAGGAGAGAGGGAGTGGCACAGTGTATCCCAGCACCTCCCCTCCCTCCTCCTCAGACCCCATCCAGCAGGAGTCCCCCAGTTTGCCTGCCTCCCCTCCTGCCAGCCTGCCTCTCTCCAGCTCCACCCCGCCTCACCGAGAGGACCCAGCTTACAAAAACGTAAATATCCCCCCAGGCCACTTTAGCTAATTATTATTTAAATGGCTCTGCAGTCGGGCAGTGATGTGATCTGCATAAGCAGATTGATAGGCTGGTTTCTCCCTGTAGAAATTGAAACAGTCACCCCACTCTGATCCTGGCTAATAGGCCCAGGTGTGGATTGTTTAATGGCTACGGTGTGTTTGTTCTCCCTCTGTCACCCCAGCCTGTTAGGGCAACTCTAATCTTTAACCTGTCGGCTCCCACATTAACCAGGCCTCCGAGAGAGAGAAAGGAGGAGGAGGAGGAGGAGGGAAGTAGAGTCATGAGGAGCATTTTTAAACCAGAACAAGTTAAAACATCACTTGAGTAACATACTACCAACACATCTCAGGGGAGTAAAAGGCTTTAACCATATACTCCCAATTATATCATAACAAATTAATTCTACTATTGGATGATAAGAAGCAGGGTCACCAATCAGGGAGATTACACTTGTAATGAGTTAAATTATACACAAAAGAATCAAAAAATCAAACAGCTGTTGCTCTGCCTTGTGTTCTGCTCTGTTGTAATTCAACTATACAATGCATAACAGGTATATGATATCCTAACCACTGACCATGTGTTGTTTACAGGTTCACAAAAATAGAGACGAAGGACTACCTGCATACGCAACCAAAGACAACTCCAGCATTTCTGGTGAGCGCAGACATTTTAATATTTGGTTTTTAAACTTTTATTTGTTCATATTTTCTGATGCACAGGTAGAAACGTCTATATATGTCTATAGATTACAAACCAGATAAAATAACAAATAATTATTGGAAAAATTGTTTTACCAGATACCTGATACCTGATCCGAAGTATATGCAATTTACCTTTTTGTAAACTGTAAAATGCTTTTCTCTTTAAAAGTAAAATATATCAGACACTATTAAGTACTTGCAAAACCAAAATCCAGTTTCTCTTTCATACACAGTATAAGCTACAGAAATCATTTTGCTCGCTCTACTGTTTGCGTGGGTTGCTTGACACTACATAAATCACCCTGCAGTTGTTTTACTATGTCTTGGTTTCATCAAATGTTTGAACAGGTTTTTACACTATTTCATGAAAAAGCATTACACAATCTATTTCAGCAAACTGTTACACACTATCTGTTTCATCAGACGTCTGAGTCAGTTGTATTATAGCATCGTTGTTTCATTTAGTGTCTGAGTGAGTGGTTTTATAGTGTCTCTGTGTCCCTGCGAGGCTCATATTCCTGTGACGTTTCATTTGCTCCTCTCATCTCCCACTCTGACCCTTTGACTGAAGAAAATGTCTTGTGTGTTTTGTGGTGGTGTTGCAAACACACACATACACACAAAGGACACACACCATGCGCACACTTAGTTATCTCCATGTGTCCGGATAACCAGCTCAACCAATGGGCCTTACTGAAACTCTCTTCCTGTCTGTCTCTCCGTCTCATTTTCTCTCAGATGAAAACAAAGAGCAGAATAGTTTCTTTGTACCAGAGAGTGAGACGTCAGCACCCGACTACTGGAGGGAAAGCTCAGGTACAAATACTCACTTATGTGTTTGTGGCTGTAGAGCAGCTGCCAATGGTAAACAACTTAATGAAGATAAGACTGCAAAATTTAAAAATGGCATGTCAGGTACTACCAAAAGTATAATTATAAGGATGGAAAGGTTCATTTAATTTCTGCATTTGGTTTCACTCTTGTGTAATTTGAATCTCATGTCGCAGAGCAACTCTGAGGTCTTTATGAAACTTTAGATTTAATCATGATCAAACATTTACATCAGGAAATAAACTAAAAGCACGATACTTGCAAAGGCAGCTTTTGACTGTAAATGAAAGTTAGCAAATTGGAGCTACAATCTGTAATAATTTATCTAGTGCAGGAATATAATTTATTTGCTGTCTGACATTAAAATAATTCTTAATATTGAAAAGTAAATCAAAGATTTACATTTTATTTTATAAAATTTGCATTACAGAAGCTACAGTTGGCCTTCACACAATGCAGATTAATATATGCCGTGTAAGAATTTCCATACATAAAACAAACAATGCTAATTAAAAAAACACCTAATAATATGGCTTTACATACTTAAGTTACAATGGCATTTCTTTCTTATTACACAAAAGACACTCAGAATACTTAAAGCTCCTCAATCTTCAGCTTCATCCAACTCAATCTCCTCCTCCTCTCAGACGGCGAATTAAGGGATTCATATAAATACACAGAGAGATGAAACGGCGGTGGAAAGCTGCTTCTGCCGCCGCTCTGCCACGGCTGCTCTCTTTAGCGCCGTTGTCGCCAGGGCTGTTACTCTTAGGGGGGCCATTATAGTTCAACAAGAAAACATCAGCTCAGAGATAAGCAGCCACGCTAGCAATCTCCATCCTAGACACATATCGCCGCCGACATAATTGCCTTTTTTTCCCCTTCCTCAGCGCAAAAAACCCTTTCCCGTTTGAAAAAGATCACAGCTTATTGCCTTTTTATATCTGTCAGGAAGACATTAAAAGTGCTTTATGACATCTGTGCCAACATTTATATCTACCCCCCCACTCCCTCAACCCCTACACACACATATCGTAATGATCCCTGCGCATAATGTATAATGTATTTCGAAAAATTACACGAAACAAATTAAATGAGACCACCTTTCCCCTGATTGCCAAACGTCTCCCTGGGCGGTGGGAAGCTCTACGTGATTAGAAGGCCTGATTCCTCTGAGTCCCACCACCACCACCACCCCCCCTCCACTGTCTTTAAACTCTCCCTCTGTTTCTAGGGAGAAAAAATAATCTAATTTTCCATTTATGTAATGCAAACCGCCTTGGCTTTGACTATTCACGGTTAATTGACTGTCAAACGAGGTTGTTATCCTCGGGCACTGTCTGCAAATTTGCTTGTCAAATGAGACAGAGAGAGGAGAGGAAAGGAGAGAGAGGAGAGGAGGAGGAGGAGGAGGAGCGAGGAGAGGAGAGGAGAGCTCACTCTCTGCTCTAAATGAGAGAGAGAGAAGCATAGGGAGGCTTAAGGAGCCAGGATGTGAAATGACTGGAGGAGAATATACATATCGAGTTTGCTGGATCGCTTCATTTAAGGCGTACAATGCCTCATTGTCACAATTCAGACGTTAGTGCAAACACGTTCATACACGCAGAACACAACTTTCAACACTGGTAAATTTGAAAACAGCATGTGAGGAAGATGTTAAAGCAACAAGTATATTCCAGATTTCTCCATCAGTGACAAAGCTTAAAAAAGTACACGGACAAAACATCCATCATATGAAATGTTGCGGAACTATGATAAAGCTGTTATACATGAAAGTATGGTTGTTATTTCCTTATGCAGCCACTGGTATTGGTCAAAATATAACATAGCTGACATTACAATGCTAATAGTTTGTAAGCATAACCTCTGCTCAAACTGGCCATTTTTGAAGCATAATTGGTGGAATTTCCCTTTTTTTGTTTAATGAGCTACAAAATCAATTTACTTTAATTTCTGAACACCAGAAGCGTTCTTTTGTTTTCTTAATAGATAACATAGCAATATGATCTGACAGCAAGAAGAGACTGAACGTGTTAGTGAGTGCAGTAAACATCTCCATCGTCAGTGCCATCAAATTGTTACCACAAACTTACACTGACACCTAGAGGCCAAATAGTGGATTACAGTGCTGCACTAGAGAATGACGGGGCAGTAAGAGGACGAGGGGATGGGGAAAGGTTTAGACTACACAAATAAAGAGAGAACACATAAAGATCCAAATAAGACTGATGGGAAAACAAATAAAGATTATGATTATGTGTTGAATATGAAATAAACTGATACACTGTGTCTGACATTAAGTATGGTATATCTCTTTATGTTTTCAGGTGATCAGAGCCAAGGTGCTGCCTCTCCTGTGCCACTAAAGAAGGATGTTGAGAACATGGAGAAAGGTAAAGATTGTTAATTTGAGGAACACAGGTTGTATGTAAATATTCTCACTCCTCTCAGGTGGATTGACCATAAAAAACCTGTTATAGATGTATATTGACCTGAGGAATTAAAGCATACCACCAGATATATATTTTACTGTCTAACAGACAATCATTTCTTTATCTGTCTTCATCTTGCAGAGGAGCTCCAGAAGGTTCTGCTGGAGCAGATCGACTTCAGGAGGAGACTGGAGCAAGAGTTTCACGCTCTGAAGGGCACCTCACCGTTTCCCGTCTTCCGTAAGTCTTTTTTTTCCTCCCTTCGCTTTCCTTTTTCATAGTCTGAAGGGCAACTTCTCCTTCTCTGTCTTTCTTAAGTTCTTTTCTATTTTCTCCTCTGTACCTGTCTCACTGTCTCACCTTCCCCCCCGTCACTTTTACCTTTCTCTGTTTTTCCAAGTCTCCTTCATCCTTCACCAACTGTCTTTTATAATTATACTTGATCAGTTACTCAAATGATAATACTGCTGAATCTAATCATAGATTTTTACGCTAATTTCAGATAATTTTCAAGACCAGATGAAACGAGAGCTCGCCTACAGAGAAGAGATGGTCCAACAGTTACAGATGGTAAGACTACTAATGATACAATCAGTGCTGAACACTGATGCAAAGTAAATATCATTGCTATGCCTTTAAATGACAAATAAAACATCCTTTTATTGATACAAGAATTAAAAAAGCCTCACTGATTGCTTTGAAAAAGTCGTGGTAATGATTTTGAGAAGAAATATAATTAAGACTAATCATGAGGCACTATTCAATAAAATATAGTTACTCAGAAACGTATGAGGAAATGTGACAATAACAACTCTATTAACACTACAACCACGGTAGACTGCAGACATAAGTGTGAAGTCCTAAGCCATGGCTTAAAAGTAAGAAATTAAATAAATGAAGAATGAATAAAGCTTTCAATAGGACTCAACAGGATACTTCTGCTATTGCTTATTTGTCCATCAAAAGACAGAGCCAATCATCTAGTTTGTCTTTCATGGGTGAGGAGTTCCTCTGCAGCCGTCTGAGTGTTTCCGTCCACATCAATCACCCGAGCAGCTGGCAGACAGGCTGACAGACGGTGTTTGTCTTTGCTTTCTGACACATGCAACAACTGTACACGCTTGCATGCACATGGTCGCAAACCCTGCACATACACCAAAACGCACGCGAAAGTATGCTGCATTCATGTAACCACAAAGGCAGATGCCTGAACAGGCATTCAAGCTCATTTATGAGCACGTACGTGCACCATGAAGTGCACATGCACGCATAAAATTTTCAAAATTGACAAATGCATCTAGAACTGGCAGATGGATATGTCTGAGAGTAATGACACATTAATTTTACGCAGACAATCAAATGAACGACCAACAAAATTTTTGATTTATGTTGCTGCATCATATTTTAGAATTTCAAACTTTCCACATATTGCTTGGAATTTTTAATTTCCATATTTTAACGTAGAGCTGTGATGAAATCATGATTCTGTGTTTTTCTTCACAAACATTAATGTGTGACAGTGAGACATTCATTTTTGAGACAAAACAATTTACTAACCTTCACATAATACATGATCAAGGCTAAAATGAAACGCTAGAAGTAGTAGAAAAAGGCTGATAATGTTTGGCTCTGGTTTTTTGGCAGGTTACCAAACGTTATATACATTTGTATCCTAAAATTGTAAAACCCAAAAAAGGACTATTTGCAGCATTTAATAGGCCAAATATTCCAGAATTTTATAACACATGTTATAACTCTGTTTATAAAAAAACTATATATATAAAAAACTCTACTATGTACACATATGTGTCAACATTAATCTAACTGTTGTCTCTAACCTGTGTTTCTTTCAGATTCCCTACGCAAACATCATCAGAAAAGAAAAGATCAGCTCCCATCTCAACAAGTAGCTAAAAGGTGACTGTTTTTATTTTATTTATAATATCGCTCTTCATCAGGACCTTTTGTGGTAGACAGCATTTTGCCTGGATAGCCACACCAGAGATAAACATGCAGAAATTAAACAGATTCTTCTTAATGGCAAATGGTCAAATTCAAATTTGTTTTTGACAGTTAATACAGTATAAAGTTGCTACAGTATAAAGCATCTTAAATTTGACTTCACAGTGGCTTTCACAAGCTAAGAACTTAACACCAGTCTCTTCACACACTGACGCACAGACTGTAAGCATCAAGAACTATCAGTCGTTGAAAAACACCAAAGCAGAAAATGACACTAATGTTGGGTTATTATTTATTTATTGTCTTCACAGCCAGAGTCAACAAAATCCCACATGAGCAGAAGAAGCTGCCTGGATTTCTGTGAATGTCCCGAGAATAAAAAAACAAACAAAAAACAGTCACATGAAAACTAGGAAATGTTGGAGAGAGAGACACAAACAGAAAGGAATATGACTCTATATAGTATATATAATACGTTTCTTACATTTCCTTGGGACAGCGTTTTTTCCTGCCTCTGCAGTACAACCTCTGTTAATAGCCCCTGCACTTAAACTCTGTCTGATAAGAACACATTCGGACCAGTTTGTACTGCCGTCGGGTAGCAGCGCGCTGATAAAAGTTTCATCGCTGTTTCCTTTCCCCTGGGTTCAGTGTGCTTCCCTATCTGACTGAAATGGAAGGGGCACAAACTTTGGACATTGGGGGAAACAGAACAACTCTGCTCTTTCTTCATTACTGCGCTGGCAGTCAGACTCAAAGCTTTACCCAAACCAGGACCAAAGCAACCACGACCGTTCTTGTCTTTTGTGAGTTTTAGGGCTGTTGACGACTACCAGGAATTCAGTTATAGACATTGTCAGAAAACTCTAAACTTTTCTAAGCTCTTAAAAGATGAAGAGGAACAGGAGAGAGTCATAGATAAAGTAAGACTGTATGTTATTGTCCATGACTCTGACTGCTGCTGGCCCAACTGTACATACACCAAACTGTGGATAAGGACGGACTTCACGCTAAGATTGTTGCTGTTGTTATTATTGTTGTTGCCGTGGTATCACCAAAAAGGGGCCCTAAAGAGAAACAAACATTTAAAACCTTTATTTATTCACAACATTTTATCACAAAGGGATTCTCTTCATCATGTCCAGTTGTGTTTATTGACCAAACTTCCCGGTGAACACAAATAATCGACATGATCCGGGGTCAGTCATCACTGAAGAGGTCAGATGCTTTTGGTGACGTGATTCACCCAAGTTTGGTCTGTTACATGTCCCATACTTGAATATGCCAGATGAAGAACAAAATAAAGGGGGAAATGATGGAGGATTGGTGTTTCGAGTTTTAAACCTAATGATGCAGTTAGAGGAGTATTAATAAAGGGTGGTACCACAGAAAGGGTTCACACTTCATGCAAACTGTACACTGGCAGAACAGTTTGTTTTTAGTTTTAGTATTTTGGTAGTGATTTCTCTGAATGTGCAAAAAACCTACAGTATTTTGCTCAATGCAGTTGTTGCTGCATCAGATTATACATTCTTTCACCTCTTCTACTGTTAATTTTTGAGCATATCAAACAGCTGGAGAATCCTTTTCCTCAAATGCACCCACAAGGTACTATTTACCCTCCACCCAAATGTTCTAACCATCAACCTACAGGCCTCACCTCCACCTCGAGGTGAAGCATTGCCACCATCAGCTAAATGTGTTTGGGGTGTCATAAGATGAAGGTGAATACACATTTAAAGGCCAATTCAGTGTATGTGTTTGTTCTCCAAATGAGTGTCCGGGCCACGAGGAACAAAAGACTGAACTTTGTCAGTGTTGTATATCTACCTGTAAATTATTTCACCTGACTGTATAACATGTCATATGTGAGAATACTGAACTTCACCGTCAGTCTATCTATGTGTTTGTTTGTTCGTTTGTTTATTTATTTATTATTTATTTGAGTATCAAGGTCTAAGACCCTGATTGTGAAAATATTATTTATTCTAATGTTAAAAGAAAAAGAACAAGACATGAGGATGATGCTGATGGTGCAGTCAAGGATGTCAGAAAGAATAAAAAAGAGAACTCATCCACCTTGTTTATAGAATGAAATGAATGAATGAATAAAGTTGTCATTTACTGAGAGAAATGTTATCATTATAAACTGTTAATGCAGATGTATTTAAATATGTTCTTGTAGTTTCTCTACTATTTATGTGTAAATTAAAAGTCTATACAATAACCAGAATGTGGTTTCATGTTTAGACCTGCCATTTTTTTTCATTTAAATCCTTGATTTGGATTTCATGACATAGCTTAGTTTTTTTTTTTATGCTCTTGAATCCAAAGGAGTCTTGTTTTCAGCTATCCTATTTGCGGTACATGTAAAAACTGAGGTGCAAAAAAAACACAGCTTAATATGTACATTTTAGGATTATACAGACTTGTTTGTATTCAGGTTTAAGTTGCATCTCAAACCTTTGTAACATCCGCTGAAAATTGTACCTAAACCTCGCCACTGATTGTGAACGAGTTACCAACAGTTAGTTGAGCAACTGGATAATTGTTAACACAAAATATTGCTAATTAATGATTTAATTTTTGCTCTTAAACAGGATCAAAAATGAAAAAAAACTAAAATGAAACAGCTGTGATAGGAGAGTTCAAGGTTTATCTCCTCTTAAGTTAAAGGACCGGTGTGTTGCAGTTAGTGGCGTCTAGCAGCGTAGGTGCAACTCCCTCGCTTCACTCTACCCTTCCAAATGCAAAGGAGAAATTACAGTGGACATTAAACATGCAAATAGCCCTATCTAGAGCCATTTTTGGTTTATCCGTTCTGGGCTGATTCAACATGACGGACTCCATGGAATGTGAACCATGGCATCTGTAAAAATGCTCATTCTAAATGAACAAAAACAGTGATTACTATATCATAATAATAAACTAATGAAAACACCTATGAATATTATATTTCATTTTTACCAATAGATCCTCTTAAACGTTACACCCTAGATCTTTAAAATATGATGTTGCAGCAGCGAAAAAATTCAAAGGGGTAATATTTTAAACAAGCACAATTGCAACAATAATATTGATAAGCAGAAATTAAAATTTGAACACTTTTATTGACTTGTTACAAATTTTTTATCAAGAAATCAATTATCTTTTGAGGGAAATTTAGTGCCCAATAGCTCAGGAAAGTGGAAGAAAACCAGAGTGCCCGGATTAAACCCACACCACCGTAGCAGTCAACAAATGCTCAGGACCAGGAATATCTTGCCTTCTGGTTGTGAGGTCACACAGCTGAGGTGGCCCTATAGAGCTCAAATCCTGCTCCCCTGGTCTGTTGAGCAACAAAAACCTGTGGTGGAGAAGATAACCTGGAGAGCAAGGTAATCACTACGGTCTAAATAGAATTATAACCTTCATTCCACCTACTCCTGTGGCCTTATGTAAAATATGTCATACCCATAACCCCTAGGGGTGGAACGTCTCACAGTATAAAAGTGGGGATAACTTCCAGCTTGTCCTCTTACCTTGAACGCCTAAGAGAGCTCCGAGCGACAAGGATTAATGACATTATCCTTTGGTCTCACAGATCTATAGTTACATTCATAACTTATCGGTTTCAACCAGTCTAAATATGATGACTCATACCAAAAGGGATGCGAGGAACATGACATCACCATAGCAGTGCTTACAGGTATTGAAGAGGTCACATCAACTCTGTACATTTTGCAAATGTACATAATGTAGAGTAGACCATGATGCTGCACAAATGTCTCCTTAGGAACCCCTTTCTGTGCAAACCATAAAGTAGCTATACTTCTGGTTGAGTGAGCTTGAATCCCTGTAGGAACTGGAAACTCCTGTTACTCGGTCCACATTCATGCCTAAACACCAGCCTGAAAGCATTTTCCACCTTAGGGAGCAATTAGCTCAAGTAGATAGAGTTCTAGCATTCCTCAGTGAGTCTCGGACAGTCTGGTCTAACTGTTGAGTGACGGACTCCGGAGAGGCCAGACCCACAAGCGGTTGGATTTGTATGCTCATGTGAGTAGCTCGCTTACTACCTGGAAATAGCATACCGACTTTGTTCCACTTTGTTGATTTATGGTACATGACTGAGGAGCTATCCGTTCTCAGAGTTTCCCAGCCAATCAATGATGTGTCTGTTGTAATCATTGGTCTTGTGTGAGGAAGGTTTCTTGGGTTTCCTCTGAGAAGGAAGCCCCTGTTCCTCCAAGGGAGCAAGGCCAGCATACAGGACTGGGGCACAAGAAGACTCATCTTCCTGTCCTGTTTTGGATGGAGATGAAAGGAGTTCAGCCAACACTGAATGTGATGCACCATTAGAAGGCCCAAAGGTATCACCACTCATGGTGCCATCAGTCCAAACTGTTTCTGAACCGTGTGAGCAATCACAATCGTCTCTCAAATCTTCACTTTGAAACTTGGCCCTGGAAAACAAACTACTATTACTATTACTATTTTTGTATTATTTATACTATTTTGAATCATTTTGGGATTAGCTTCAGGTATTGGTTAGGACACCTAAGGCCCATTCATTACCTCCATCTGTCTGCTGTGCGCTGGGAGGCACCTTTGAAATGGTTCCTTTTTGCATTTGACGTGTCCATCCTGTTGCATTAGACTCTGACTTGACATCATGGCATTCAGCTAAGAGGTCTGTGCCAGCCATATTTACCTATAACCTTAGACAGCAGACGACAAAGCCTCCCCTACATAACGTGTTCCAACAAGGGTTTAGAGCATAGACCTAAACGTGGTTGGGGGCCCTGCTGGGTTTTAGGAACAGAGCTTTCATTCCTGCAGTCAGAGTTCTTCCATAAGGGTCAAGGGCCCTCCATTGAGTGTTCCTCCCAACTTTCTTGGGACAGTTGACAGTGACAGGAACCATGGGTCGCACATGGGTGCAGTCTGTGTATCTGAATGGGGATCCCCCAGTGACTTTTACCCTATGATTGATGCCCTCTATCAACAGTTGCACATGGGTACAGGTTGTAGCTTGCTCATACACTGATTGGATTGATGGCAGAAGCATCCTTGATGATTGCCATGTGCCTGGTGAGGGTGTGTCCTATACAGCAATGGCTGAACTCCATAGGATGATGGAGCTTCTCGTGCCACAGTCCTGCATGCTGGCCCTGCTCCCCTTGAGGGACAGGGGCTTTCTTCTTAGAGGAACCCCACTAAGGAACCTTCCTCACAGAAGACCAGTAATCCCAAAAAATTGAAAGACCACACTGTGGAATAAAGATAAGAAAAAAAGGTTACTGGTGTATAACCTGAAAGAAACAGAAATTACCACAAACCGTGTGGAGCCACAGCTGGCATGCTCGTAGACTAGCTTTAAATAAAGAAAACAATGCAAAGGTTGACTTACACTACCATGTGGCAATATATATATAAATGCAATAAGAGCATCACAAGGACAGGGACACAAGACGTCTACAACGCATGGGTGATAAACTGAAAGTGGATTTACAAGAGTATCAGTTTCCTACCTGTAGGCTACCTGGTCTCTGAGGCGAGAAAGGCAGAGAGGACGATACAGAGGTTAACCCTGCTTTCATAGTGCAGGAAGTTCTGCCTCCGGGGGTCATGGACATGACTGAGATTAGATGGAATGAAGGTTATCATTCTATTTGACTATAGTGAAGGTCATAGTGAGGTCGAAACAGATCCTCCTGCTCCACTGGTGTCGGTCCCAAGACAGAGGCCGGTGGAGGAGAAGGTAACCTGGACATAAAATCTAAATGAAAAAAATAAAAATAAAAAACTGAACAAGGGGCGATTAAAGCACAATACACAAGTCTACACATCATTTTCTGGAAGGTTTTTTTTTTTATTGATTTCAGAGAAATCATTTTTAAGTGCCTGCCACAGAAGGGGAGATTTAGAAAAGTGACATAATAATGTGTTATAATAATTATTTATTATAAATTAAATATGTTCGTTATTCAAAATCACTCCTGAATGGACTGGAAAGAAAATAAATCTACATTTATGGATTTGGTACGTATACAGGTTCTCTGTTGCTCGGAAATTTGAATTGCATAGTGTCATCTGAGGGATACATTTCATTTACGGTTTTAAAATGTACTTTATAATGTCTACGGGGATTGGAAATTTTATGAATTTTGATACACCCAATATTTCAGTTTTCCCATTGTTTGTGAGAGTCCTCCTCGTTAAACCAGGATACATCTATATATCAGATATTGCCTCTGAAGTGTATTATTGCATTAAGTCTAAATTAATATTTTGTAATTTAGGTATTGACGTGTTATCTAGATTTTTAAGTAACCGAATAAGTACTGTTGGAATGTTTTGTGTCACCGTCGTATTTTTCAAGGAGCAATCCAAATTATATTTATTGTTAAGCTCCTCCAGTTTAAGTATATTTCCATTTCCATCCAACAGATGAACAATTGACCATATGTGTGTATATAATATTATTCCACCGTCTTCAACATTTTTGGTCTCCTTTTTTGGCGTAATGACGCAGATTTGTCCAAGTGTGCGGTGGTCTTCTCGGAGTGGGGTTAACCCGTAGCGCAGGGATGTCTTTTACTCCTGTTGCACGACCTCCGCTGTCGGTTTACGGCATCTGCATCTCCGGGAGTGGTGAGGTGAAGAAGGGCGGAGGAAGAAGTTGCCAGCATGGCGTTTACTCTGTACTCTCTCATCCAGACCGCTATTCTCTGCACTAATGCCGTCGCGGTGTTGCATGAGGAGAGGTTTCTCAGCAAGAGTGAGTACTCTGACATTGTTTCTACGACGAACATCAAACATTTTACCGAAATAACGACGAGCTAAAAGCGGCTAGCTAGGTGTGCAACGTCGGTACACTATTAGCTGCCTGTGGACTACACTGAATACATCATGTGGACAGTTTTTGGGTGGACAGTTGGGGTTAGTTCATGAGATTGAAATGTGCATGTGTGGAATAAAACGATAGATCCAATCTTAAAGGGAAAATGAAGCAGAAAACTGGACGTTAAGGGATCAGAAATACAAACACACAGGCGCTATCATGTTTTCCTTTCTCCTCTATCTAATAACCCCCCGTCTGCTTTCTCTTCTCGATGTCTTTCATCGTCCTGTACATTTTCCTCCTCCTGTCTCTTTCTCTCTGTCTCTCTGTCTCCAGTCGGCTGGGGTGTTGACCAGGGAGTTGGAGGTTTTGGGGATGATCCAGGAGTCAAAGCCCAGATCCTCAATCTCATCCGCTCAGTCCGGACTGTCATGAGAGGTTGGGAAGGTTTCCTTATGTCCTAAAGAAACAGATTCAGTCGTCTAAAATAATAGAAAATGTTGAGTGAGTGTCAGATTTACTAGGGCTGGGTATCCCTTAAACCGGTCTCTCACTGATGCCAATGGATTTTTGGTACATATAACAAAACAGTACTTGTCTCTGTACCCTAAAGTTCTCACATGGATCAGTTTTTAATTTTGTTTTAGCATAAGAGAGCAATAATTTTTTCATCAGGAAACAGTATAAACTCAGTCTGTGAACTCATCAGACTTTAGGTACTGTTTATTGAATATTTGTGCCACAGATTTTTTGCTTAGTACCCAAAAAGTTTGAGGCCCAGCTCTAATATTTGAGGTTGACGATTTAGCAATTAACTTGTGTGTGTAATGTTGTGTGTGTGTGTGTGTGTGTGTGTGTGTGTGTGTGTGTGTGTGTGTGTGTGTGTGTTTCTTTCCTTTTCTTTTGTTTTCACAGTGCCTTTGATAATAGTGAATTCGGCCTCCATTGTCCTGCTGTTACTGTTTGGTTGACAGCGGTACACGAGAGCCAAAATGAAGCCGGACCACCAGACATTTGCCAAGGAACAACCATACACACACACACACACACATATGCACACATGCAGAAATATCTGTCATTCAGAGACTTATATCTTTGCCAGTCATCAGCAGGGTGGGAAGGTTGTCCCTTGGGGCTGGTATGTGAATATGAAATCATGAAAATCAACCTGCAGATGTTCACATTGAAAGAGAAGAAGAATTGACCTTTCACCCAAAACCGTGGCTGGTGTGGACTTCCTAACCTGCTTGTGTGTTTTTGTATGGCTTCTTCCAATTTGTATTTTAGACTAAACTACCATTGTGTAGTTTTTTTGGCCTGAAATGTAAAATATTTTTGTATTTTCCCACCAGAGCGAGGGATACTCACTGACAGTATCGCCACAATTAGATGGAGAAATGAAAGTGACTGAAATATATCAAACTGTTAACATGCTGCAGTTTGAGTTAACAATGCAGTGTAATGTAATTGGCAGCGTCTCCTCTTTTGTACCAAATTCTGAACCTTAATCCTTATTTGAACATTATTTTAAGCCGTATACACCTGTAACACTGGGAACTGACAGGATTCGGGATTTGCAGTATTGATATGTATTGTTTACACAGCAACGCCCTCTCGGTGCCACAAACATCACTGGGAATTGAGATGTTTTTCTGTCTTGAAATAAATGTATTAGTCATTTTAATACAATTATTTGTTTTGTTTTATCTTCTCACAAGTGTGGCAGCAGAGGAATAGAGAAAAAAACTCATTTTGAAGAGGCTCTGTAGTTCTCCATTTAAATCGGTCTCTAAAACCACTTTGTTTCAGTTCAGTGAGCATCCAGCCTGATTCAGGGTCACTATTGACCTCTGAGCTGCATATATTTAGTTTACACAATTGTACAGTTTTTTTTTTATGCTCCCAACCAAATCAACAAGTTATAGCATTGAGGGGTCAGACCTGCAATTAAGTAACTTTTACTAGAGAACATTTCAAGCAAGCAAATGCATTTTACCGCAGTATTCTTACTGCCACTTGAGTAAAACTTGGCTAAATAACCGCTTTTACTTGGGTGTGATGCTGCAGTATCTTTCCACTTCTGCTCTGTGTAAATATTGACATATCTGTCTGGACTGTTTGTCCCTCTATCCCTGCTCCACTTCATTAATAATCCCCATATGCTGTGAATTATCACTATTTCCTCCACCGCTAAGCTCCACAAGCATTTTATTAACGCTACTGTAGTTTCGATTGTAAATACGCGGGAGGGGGGAGTGAGAGGGAAAAGTGGATCTGCTGGAATTATAAGCATATGTTTATCGGGGAGATTTGCACAGTAAAGCCACTTTGATCTGTGATTAGTCTGAGTTTAGCTGTGGGTTCACAGTAAAATATGTCAGCGATCACAGGCGACTGTACATAACATCTATGTTTTATATAAATATATATGAAATTTAGTGTTAATATTGAAAAGAACACATTTTTCCAATGCATTTTATTGTTATTTATTAACACAAATGTGAAAAGGAGACAAATATAAGGGCAATAACTAACTAAAAATCACAGGTTTAATCCTGAGAATAGCAAGGACCACTGGAAGTACTAAAAGAGAGGAACACCCACAAATAAAAGGTTTAGTGAAAGAAAAAACAAATAAAATCAGAAACAAAACATTACAATGTTTCAATAGGGATTCAAAAGATGGTACTGATTTTGATATTTTGTCTGGACAAATATATTTACTGTGCGAGATTAGTTCTCCAACATGTTTTTCACAGTTATGAGTTAATAATATTTATGCGTAAACAAAAACAAAATTCTGAAAAACAACTTTGGGAAACTGTTATTCAATGGAGGTACAATATATAAAAAGAGGATTTGATCAGTGTCGTCTGGCATCATGCAGAGAAGGTTTTTATCGTTCTGATAATACCTTCCACCATATTAAATCTATCTGAATGCCCTAAAAGACCCACTAATGCGATACATCTGTTGGCTGTTAGTGAGATGGTACACATATGTTTTTTTTTATTATTGTAATGAGTGATTAAGTGGTTAAGGATAACCCTCTTATCTGATTATAACATATACATTTGAACAGAAATAATAGGGAGGATAGAGTTGATATCAAAAAGAGAGAGCAGTATTAAAAATATATATTTTTTTAAATAAATAAATAAAAAATACTATGGGATAAATATAGGATTTTAAAGAGTAGAAGAAGTTGCGCCGATTAAGCTGCAGGGGACAGCACTGAGCTCATAGAGAATAAAACCCATTTTCAACCAGCGAAGAAGAAAACCAGGAGGTGCTGTTGGTAAAGGTTAGCTGTGCAGTTTGTAGACTTTCTAAACATATAAACATTTTACAGTTATTGTGCCGTTTTAGCGATTAAAACCGCAACGTGTTTTATTAGCAGTGAAGTTGTGCAGTGTACGGAAATGAAGAGTAACCCGCTAAATGAATGCTACTAGCTAACGTTACCATTAATGCAGCTCCAACAGTTTGAACACAACAGAGAGCTAAAAACATTAGCCATACATGTTTTGTTATTTTGCATATATTGCTGTATAGTATTTGTATAATTAATTGTATGAGTATAATTTCCCTCTGTAATTAGTTTGAGAGACGTTAGCTGTAAAACAGGAGTAGGTGCAAGGCCATTGTGGCTAACTGGGGCACTTAAATACAATGTAGTCAGTGGGTAATGTAGTTTATTATTATTGGTTATTAATTACTCTGTTCATGCTTCTGCAGTAATGATGGTTTCTGTGTCCATGGCTTCACCAGTACATCAAATAGAAATAAATGTATCCTTCCACACACATTTCACTTCAAATCTGCCTGACAGTTCAATGTGTGTGTGTGTGTGTGTGTGTGTGTGTGCTTTTTGGATTGGTATTAAGAGCATTAATTGTACCTTCGCATTGATAACTACATGACAGAAATCCAAGCATGTCTAAATAATAGGGGATCACTCATTCACAGAGCAATAAAATACAATCCCCAAATCTGTATTCTAGGCAGGAAGTCATAAAGTATGGGTCCAAACGGGTCAATAATCCTCTCAGTTTGTCCTGATACAGGTTTGAACAACGCAGTAATCTGATAAATTCTGCCACTACCGATGTGAATTATGATTATGAACGTATAAGCTCTACAATAATACATTATTATAGCAGAATAAGCTTTTTTAAACCGAGCAAAGCTCCATTTACAGCGGACCTCAGTAATATTTGGCAGTTTAGAAAAACATAATCAGACACTGCACTCCAAGCAGCTCTTATCTAACAGCGTACTTGGTGGCTGCCGGTTTTAGTGAGGACTGAAACCTGTTGAAAATATCTTGTGTTGATTATTTGCCTGTTTTCATTCAGAGTAAGAGAAAGTAGAATTTCACTAACCAAAAGGCAATGAGCATTATTGTTGTGTAAAAATATATTCCTATAAACAATGTCGAAAAATGTTGAGTGTAAGGAGGCCAAAGGAGGCCAAAGCAGGGCATCTGTGTCATTATGACCATATGTGTCTCTACAAGCTATAAAGCATTTTCTAAACCATCCATCCTCCTCTGCAGCTCTCCAGCATGGCGGGCAGACGTGCTCTGAAGGCGGTGCTCATTGACCTGAGTGGAACTCTACATATAGAAGACATGGCAGTGCCCGGGGCACAGGATGCCCTAAACAGGTAGGAAACACCCATCAGACTAGGGACAGGCATAAAATTGAGGGTCTGAACGTTTCTGTGTGAATGAAACATTGTCATGTAGTCAAGTGGGAGCTAAAGGAGTTTCAAAAACAATATTGCTGCCAGTCCTTTGAAGCACAGATATCTTCTAGGACTAGTGCATCATTCATTTTCTTATTATAGATTCACATGAATTATAAATGTGTTTTTAACTGGCTTAAAGTTTGAGCTTTGGTGCTGTCAGGTTACGGCAGGCGTCTGTAGCTGTGAAGTTTGTGACCAACACAACAAAGGAGAGCAAGAGGAACTTACTGGAACGCCTGCAACGTCTCAACTTTGACGTTAAGGTAAAAACAGCCAAAGCCCTATTTCATTTAGTCCAGATTATTTATAATTAATTATTATTGTAATGTTGGAAATAAACTACACAGAGAAAAGGGGTGTGCTCCTCCTGCACTGATGTTCTCCTAAACAAGCAGCTATATCTGTATTCCCCGAAAAGTTAGGAAAAAAGGCGGCACTGCAGAGGTAAAAATCTGTTTTTGACCTCTAGAGTGGCACCTTTTTTCCTGACTTTATTTTCTAAAATAAACTCCATTCTGCAGGAAAAAGAGATCTTCACTTCACTGAGTGCAGCGAGGAGTTTGTTAGAGCAGAAACAACACAGACCGCTGCTGCTGGTGGAGGACAGCGCACTGGAAGACTTCACTGGTACGGAGCTGTGAGTATGTGTGTGTGTGTGTGTCTCTCTCTCAGAGAGAGAGAGTCAGAGACTGTGCATCAGTTGTTTAACTGTTGTAATTTTTATTTCCATTTTTATTGCTTTTGAAACTCATTTGTTTCAGCAATCAAATCAAATAACCTGAAAACAGCCTGAAAAGGAAAAATCACTCGTTAGATATGGTTATTATTGTTCATCACACACTCATTTTCACCACCTTGGTTTATCTTAACCACCATTTTTTAAAAGGGTTTGTCAATGTTACCTAAACCCAAACAGTGACAATATTCAATGTTGAGCATATCCCTCAGTTAGAATAGTAAACTGACAAAATAAATATTACATAATTATTATCACTATTTGCCTTACTGAACAATGTATTGTATATATATCATTACATTCTATATATTAATTAAATTTAAAACATTTAGAGCCCATATAGTTTACTGTGACCAACAATGGAAATGCATCAGTTTAAAATTAAACGAAGAAATACAACAATTTGTGAATCTTTAGGTGTTTGTAAGTAAGTTACTTGCTAAATGAATAATCATATCAAGATTAAAACTGATTAACCACTACTACTGTATATAATAGTAATGGTCTTTCCATCTCCAGGTATTGACACATCAGCGCCAAATGCTGTTGTCGTTGGACTCGCTCCTGATCACTTCAACTACCAAACACTCAACAAGGCTTTCAGGTGGTAAACTCATTCCAAAGACACATTCTTCGGTCAGTCACAGAACATTTGAGTTGCACTAATTGAAAAGTTTTCCTGGCAGGTTAGATAATCTAGTCTATCTAGTCTTATAATAATAACTCCTTCTTTTTCTTGATTATTGTCTTTTCTAAATACAGCCTGTTAATCATGTATATTTCTCCTCAGAATGATTCTGGATGGAGCTCCTCTCATCGCCATCCATAAGGCTCGGTACTACAAACGTAAGGATGGTCTGGCCCTCGGTCCCGGGCCCTTTGTGACGGGGCTTGAGTATGCCACGGACTGTAAAGCTACCGTTGTGGGGAAGCCGGAGAAGACTTTTTTCACACAGGTCAGAAAGTGATAGTTTTACATGTTTTCGCCTTTTTACTCTAGTAGGAAGAGGCTTTTGTATTTAATGTATTTTTTAAAGGGCTGTAATACACCTCATGATGCTGTCATCATACATTTCTGACTGTAGAGTCCATTTTTAGTCAGATCTATGTATTCCTTGAGTGGTTTTGTTTCATTTTATTGGTATTGTCTGAATGTATTTTATGCTGTTTGTTATGAGGCCTCTGATTTTCTTTTGGTTGTTTCCTTAAACTAGGCTCTGACTGATTTAGGATGTAGCCCAAATGAAGCTGTCATGATAGGAGATGTAAGTATATCATGTCAAGTACATTTTCAATATTTAGTGGAGGCACATTTCTATACACAACGGCACGGGGAGTGTGGGCTGTTATTGGGAGTCAATACACTACAAAAAGAACTTTATTTTTAAATATCATACAATATTCATTGAATGTTTTTTTTTTTTGAACACCGAAAAATATGAGTCAGCTTTCCTTCTGTTGGAACTTCCAGTTTTTTTGCTGATGTTTTCCCACAGGACGCCAGAGACGATGTGGGCGGGGCTCAGAACGCAGGAATGTTGGGAATTCTGGTCAAAACAGGTAAGAACAAACTTCTCCCTCCAGTTAATTCTCATCTCTCCACCAGTTTCATTTATCCACTTTTCCTTCTCTACACAAATTGTGGTGCTTTTACTCTTCCTCATCTCTCCATCTTCTTCTGTAATGTCATCATTATAACCTACATATCATGGTATTTTCCCTTGGATCTTAGCTACAGCATATACTAATCCAGTTGTGATGTTTATTGTTGTTTTTGTGGTTGACATTCTCTCCTGTCATCTCTCAGGTAAATACAGAGAAGGAGATGAGAATAAAATCAACCCTCCTCCCCACGTAACATGTGACAGTTTCCCAGAGGCTGTCGAACACATTCTGAAGAACCTGCTATAAGCTACAAGTAACAATAGAATCTTTCATTTGCACAAGAAAACACTTGAATTTATAATTGTTGAAGACTGTTGGTGTGGTAAGAAGGCAGAACGTTATTAAATGACTCCCCCTCATCCCCCAAGATTAAGATAAACTAACCATTCTGTAATCATTGTCTGATTGTCCCAAAATCAAAGATATACTTTTACAAAAAAAATGTCCATTTGAGTGTGGGACTACTTATTCCCCCGCATTTCGGAATCACCCACCACCTGTTGCCATAGTAAGAAAATGTTTTGTCATTATATTACAATGTATAAATATAAGTTTGAATGAAAAATATTCAGCTGGTAACTATTGTTTATTATTCCATTGTGCTTATGATCATTGTACAGATAAACAAAATAAAGAAAGACTCCATCAAAATTATTAACACTGGCTCAGAATATAAAGTTTTCAGGTTCTTGTTCAGGAGGTTTGTATTTGCACATTATTTCACTATTTTGGTTTTCAGTGTTTGTCTTTTTCCTTTCACCCATGTCACTAGAATGAGGCTAAAAAAATCATTTAGGAGGCAAAAACGATGCCTAATAAATGTGCAGTTTGGGGACATTTTTAATTGACTGATTTCAAATGACATCGACCAGAAGTTGTATGATGGGGACACAAAGAGTTAATTATGTTAAACTCACTAAAGGTAATGATGCAGGCTTTTGGCAGGCATGTTTTTGTAAGACTGTTTAAATGTCAGGGAGTGTATTGTGTTATTTAAGAAAGCCTTAATAAAGAGCACAATCTGTAACAGCAATAGGTCAATTTGTATACATCAAGACAAACACTTCAGATGTACTGTAGTGTTAGTATAAAAGTCATTTTTTCTTATATTAAAATGTGTGTCAGACAGACTCATACTCCTTCTCCCAGGCTGCGTATCTATCCATCAGGTTTCGGGCCGAGGGTTTGGTGTGCGCGATAACTTCCAGGAAGTCAGCTGTTGTCACAGTTTCCAGCTGGATGGCAGGCATGTTAGTGTCTCCTGTAACACAGAGTCTTAGTGAGGCTATGATGCTTTTACTCAGGAGCACTGGACAGAAAACATGGTTGCTTTAGGGGGGTTAAAACTTTATGCCTGTGTGTGTGTTTTCCTACCGTCCTGATGTGACTCCAGTGCATCAAAGATCTTGCGGACTGGTCTCATGGCAGCCTCCTTACACACCAGTCGTATATCAGAGCCCGAGTAACCCTCCATCCTCTAATATACACACACACACACACACACACACACACACACACAAACAGGCAGATGAGGCCTAGCTAGAGATTTTTATTCAATCCCAAATCTTAAACATGGAAATTATTAATATAAACATGACAAAGAAAATGTGAAATAAATATGATAAAAACACAGGGTTTTTTTTTTTAACACCTTCGCCAGAGTTTCATAGTCCAGCTCAGTTTGTAGCTCCACCCCTCCTGTGGAGCTTAGAGGTGGCAGCCAATGAGAGATCATGGCTTGGCGAGCTGGCGAGGAGGGAAGACTAACAAGAATCCTCTTCTCCAACCTCCTCAGCATGGCATGGTCCAGTTCCCTGAGAGAAAAGCAGAAACAGTAGAAAGCATTCAGGTCACTTCTAGTTCAGATATCCTGAATTATATGTATTTTTCATCCATACTATTTCATTTTTGACAAAAAATGCACCCCGTTTGAAGAATTCAGTAAGATAAAACATTTTGTTCAACTCTATGTATTTTGGGCTGCAAAATAACTAAATGTATGTTTGTTTGTTTAGTTCATTAAATATTAAATATTGAAATCATCTCAAGCCAACACAAACTGAGTTGAGCCAATAAAACACAAAGAAAGATACAGCATAAGGGAGTGTCTGCAATTTACGTCTGTCTTTCATCTCTATTTGCAGATATGATGGCAACACAAATGCACCGATCAGTTGTGGAATGTAACTAAGTACATTTACTCAAATCTGAGTTACTTGTACTTTAAGTATTTCCATTTTACGCAACTTTATACTCTACTCCACAACATCTCAGTGGTAAATATTGTACTTTTTACTCCACTTTGTTTTTGATAAATAATAAAGATAAAGTGTTACTGTATTGATTGAGGAAATTCTCCTACTTCTTAAAATATATAAACTATTTAAAACTTGTCCTGGATTATCAGAAAAATGCATTGTGACAAAGCTGAAAACGGCTGTTTGTATTGTTGTTTATAAGTTGACTTTTTAGGGATAAATGGTTCTCACAGGATAGCAACGCTACAAACAAATGAAATTAAAGAATATGACGCATTGCTATAGATTAAACTACCCAACAGTAAAATGTGAGTAGCTCCTTCAGCAGCAGACTGTTACACCCACGGTGTAAGAAGGAGAGGTTCCGCAGGTCTTTCATCCCTGCCGCTGTCAGACTCTACAAAACCTGATCAATGTTGTAGTTTCTGTTTTTCCAGTTACCACCATACCATAGCTATACCACTTAACCAGAGTTTTTTTTTTCTATCTGTATTTATTTATTTCACTTACAATGCTGCTGTGACAAGGGAATTTCCCCGTTGTGGGATTAATAAAGTAATACAACTACAACAACTTAATGCAGCAGTAGTAATACAGAAACATACAATAGTAAAACCCTCAGAGGGACCAATTATCTGCATTATGAATACTTTTTCTTTTGATACTTTACTTACTGAAATTTGCTGATAATACTTCTACTTGAGTAAGGTTTTGAATGCAGGACTTTTACTTTTTTCAGTGTGGTATTGCTAGTTAAGTAAAGGATATGAAAGCTTCTTCCATTACTGATTGTCATTATCACTACGAAAGATAAAATACTTTCTACATATGTGTTGTGTTTTTAAATTAAAGTGTTACCAAGGCAGGTTGGAGGCAGCCAGTACAAACACCAGGTCCTCTGATTTCGCCAGTCCATCCATCTGAACCAGCAGCTCAGTCTTCATCCTGCGACTCCCCTCGTGTTCTCCTCTGAAAAGAGACATCCGTTTGCTGTTGCACCAATTTCTATTACCACCTCATCAGTCAATCACTGCTCGTGAGTTAATAGTAACTATTATGGTAGTAAAACTATCTTAGTGCAGAATTACTCATTTAAAAAAAAAAAAATTGTAAATGTAAAATGTACAAATGTCTGATGTAAAAACATCCAGAAACAACCAATCTGCTCAAGCACACTCTAGGTAAACAGAGACATTGCGCTGTTTCAGGGAGTGAACCACTAACCTCCAGCACTGGGGAGAAAACATTCCCATTTACCACACTTTCTGGTTGAGCTCACCCTATGCTGTTTCCTCTCTGGCTCATCACTGACTCCAGCTCGTCCAGAAAGATGGTGGATGGAGCGTGGTACCTGGCCAGCTCAAACAGAACCTGCAGACATGTAGATACATAGATTTACAATAAATCCAAACACAATGTGAGTAATATATGTAAGGTCGTTTTTTTCTCCTGATTTGTTGCATTTGGTATGTGTGTGTGTGTGTGTGTGTGTGTTGAAGAATAGCCTACCCGGACCAGTTTCTCAGAGTCTCCTCTCCACTTGCTGACGATGCTGGAGGCTGAGATGTTGAAGAAGGTCGTCTTACACTCTGTAGCCACGGCCTTGGCCAGCAGCGTCTTACCCGTACCTGTGTGTATGTGAGTCAGATGGTTTTGAGACATGCATGTCAGGAAGAATTCCAAAATGTAAGACTTAATAAGATTCTTTCAAATAGGCCTCTGATTAAGTTTTTCGTTAATCAGCAAACCTGACAAAGATTTACAGCACTGGAGGTCTTACCTGGGGGGCCATAGAGCAGCAAGCCCTTCCACGGAGACAGGATGCCTGTAAACAGCTGGGGGTACTGTCAAGAGAGGGAGAGAGAAGTCAAATATGAAAACTACAATACAGACAAAGCTTAAGTAGATCACATTATAACTCAATATAAGAATAATTTATGGCTGCAAACATATTCTATTCAGCAAAAAACATGCAATACTATTCTTTGCAGACCAATCAGAAGATGAGCTGTGTGCAAAGAAAACAGATTTGCTTGATGTATGGCTGACTCAGTGCTGGAAATACCACATACCACGAATTAGTCAGAACTTCAGGTGGCAAACAAGAGGTTGAGTGCAATCACCAAACTGACCTTATACCCCAGAGAATGAATAATAATGGAGACAGAAGTTAGGGATTGTGGGAAGGTGGAGGTAGGGTGTTATTCAATAAAACAGGCCAGCGGAATAGAGGATAGACACATCAGTCCTCATCTCCGTCTGTAAATGTCAAGAGGATGCAGACAACCTGATTTGTTGTCATCATATCCATGAGAGAGGCCCAGGTGATGATGATAGAAGCGTGTATGTATTTTCCGTGTGTGTGTGCCCTACGGATGTGTTTATATGATTTTGTTTTGTATGGGCAATCTCTGTATGCTGTAGCAACGTGTATGTGTGTGTGCGTGTGTGTGTGTGTATCTTTGTGTGTGTGTATATTCCTGCCATCCTACCTATCTATCCATCTGTGTATGTGTGTGTTACCATATTATCCCAGATATAGATTTAATGTCAGCCTAACAGACTGGCCTGACCCTGCTGCCCTCCTTCTCTTTAAGCCCTTTAAAGGAGATGTATTCAGAATCGAAGACGGGCGACCGGAGCTGAAATACCAGCGTGCCCAGGCAGCGGCCGTACCTTAATGGGATAGACGACGGCCTCTTTGACTAATCGCTTTGCGTCCTCCAGGCCGATGATGTCCTCCCACCGCACATTGGGGCTGTGCAAATAGATGTCCTTTAGGGGTGAACACACACACAAACACACAGAGTGAGGGATGCATGCGGAAGATATCAGCTAGAAATGTACACACACACACACACACACACACACACACACACACACACACACACACACACACACACACACACACACACACACACATTAAGCTTGTGTAAATAGGTGTCCTTTAGAATGAAACATCAGATAAGGAAAATAGATAGAACCTGGGCCTTCATTAATACAACAGATCAATTCATTCACAACAAAGCTCTGCACTGCTCTCTAATGGACATATTCGGTATCGCATAAATCACTGACAGCATACTTTCACATTCTGTCAAAAATCAGCTCCTCTATGTGTTTGTTTTGAAGCATGCATGCTTCTTGTTTGTCAGCGTTTGCAATATAGTATTTAAGTGTGTGTGTAGTACCCTGCTGATGATTGCAGCCAGTTCTCTCATTTCACCGCTCATTCCAGAAAAGCCACTGAGGGGCTTCAGCAGCCGTTCCTGCAACACAGCATAAAAATCTGCATTATTGGTGGCCTTGTACTATAACTAGTTTTACTAATGTTTGACTTGTTTGTATCTCATGTATTTTATGCCATTAAAATGTCTTAACAAGTACTCAATTTAC